TTTGATGAACTGAGCATGATCGGGAATTTCTGAAACCAATTCTTTGAGCTGAGAAGGGATACTCATGAAGTTGATTCGGATAGTCTTCCTAGAAGTCATAATTCCCTACAAAACAGAGCAAAGATAAATCCCTAGGTCCTTGAAATAGTTAGATATGATATGCAATGCAGATGATGTCATGATGTCATGTTTGGCACACACAAACAAATCACACAATGAGCCTAGGTTTAAGGCTTGCATGAGGTCTAGGTGATTACCCCACCAAAAGTTTGAGTTGGTTCATCCTGTCCTATAATAGTAACCGGGTTCTAGGAATCTCACATCATCGATCTTTCTCGTAGGCGCTTATTTCAATACGACGGCCAAGTGGTCGATCGAAAATGTCCCAAAAGTCTGATCTCAATGAGCGTAGCATCGAGTATCAACCAACCTCGGTCTACACCAAAGCCGTCCATCTCACTACCTTCTAATGGCCAAGATGGGTCAATTAAGGTTCTACAAGTTTAGTTAGCGCTTGATGACACCACGCAGAAGCCAAATACTATCTTCAACTTGGGAATGAAGAGTATCGGGACAACCAAAGTGTCACGCTAACGTAGCCATCATGTTGACCGTTTTGATATACGTCTAACGGTCGCGACGATTTATTGCTACTTACCTAAAAGGAAACCCGGATCCGGGTGTAGGATCCCCAACAGTATAATACCCAAGCAACCCTTAAAGATAAAGCATACAAGTCAAACAGAAAGCAGTAAAGGTGATTTAGAAATCCTTAAGGCATTCTCTCTTTAAGGGTGTTTCCCCAGCAGAGTCGCCAGTTCTGTAATACGGTGAACTGACTTTTTAGGATTTTTTTGTATCCAAATATGCGCATATTGATAAAACCTCATGACTCCTTGTAAAAACTTCTTGATGAACCGGGGTAGGGTTATTTGTGATAAATCCATGTAAGATTTATAGAGGAACCGGGGTTAGGTTGCTTCGGGATAAGTTCGTGTAAAACTTCTGGATGAACCGGGGTAAGGTTATTTGTGGGATAAGTTCGTGTGAAACTTCTTCTGAAAATTGAGAAGGAACCGGTGTAGGGTTGCATGATTTTGATTAAGTGGATGATTGTCCTGTTTGGTTTCGGATGTTAACCCACAATCTGGAATTTGTAAAGGTAGATGGTAATCATCCTTATGTTGATCTTTCCTTTGTACTTTGGTTGACAGAGCAATTGGATCGCCTGGATAACTCATTATTGCCCCTGCTTCGGAGATGAGGGAAGAGGATACCTGTGTGGGTGATTGACAAATCTTCGGGTAGACAAGGGACGAGATGTCGGGACATAGTCGTACGCTTTGATCCCTAACTTTTGCCTGGACCACCCTTTCGGGTTTTCAGTCCACCGGGATACCCATTTTTGCCCAAGCCGCCTTTTCAGGTTTTCGACTTGCCGGGTGTACATATTTTTCCGTTTTCATCCCTTATTTTTGCCCGAACCCTTTTGGTTCGACGGGAAGCCCTTATTTTTGCCTAGGCGTGTCAACCTAGCGGGTCTTTGGTTATGCGCAGGATTTTTTCGACTATGTCCACGCTTCTCAGAATGTAGGGAGTTGCCCCTGTTAGAAGTATTTTGTCATGCCCCAGATAATGGGCAATGCTCCTACTGTGCCCCTTGATTGGAGGTACTTCTGTTCACAAGGTGTTCATCATGCGAATTTCCCTGCTGTTCAAACAAATAGTCATATGCAAACAAGGTTATTTTAAGAATGCAAAAGCCTATGTCTGTCTTGAATTTTGAAAATGCATTTTTTGTAATACAGTGCGGTGTCAACTCAAGATTTTACAGCAAACCTTCAGGAGTCAGGATACCTTTCGTAACAGTATGCTTTCGAACTAACCCATGCTTCAGCTAGGACTTTTGAGGGTTATAACGTGGCCTGGTTCACGGTTTAAGAAACAAAGGATAAAGGCTCAAATTATTTGTACCCACCCGCTCTTCGTGATGTTCTCCAAACCTAAACTCAGTTGATCATACGTTAGACCTTGTTTGAGTCTTTGCTTTGATTTTTCGGTGATGATTCGGATATTGATGATTTATTCTGAACAGGCGGCCATTCCCTTTTTTTGTTGAGGGTTTGTATGACCTCTTTTCTTTTTCTTTTTTGATTTCGTTATCCCTATTTTTTGCCTGAGCTGTTTCCTTTTTGGAATTACAGTCAGCGGGATGCCCCAGTTACGTAAGTCCCCTTCGTAGGTTTTGACTTATTGGGTTCTTATTTTGAAAGATGATGACTGCCTGTCTTGACGATTATAGGGAACCATCACTGTCTTTTGTTTTGTAAGGACTTTTTGGTGCCATTCGTTATGCACTTGGATCAACTGAGAGAACTACCCTGCCCCAGGTTATGATTAAGGGTTTTGATTTTCGAAAATAAAAACTTCTACTTCTTTGGCTCAGAGGGGTTGACGAGGGATTATCATCCTTATAACTCCAGTGTTTAGGGATTGAAAC